GGCTGCATGTCGATGGTGACGGGGTCATTGAGGTAGTCCAGGCAGATGTGATAGATGAGCTCTGGCTGCATTTTGGCAAGGGCTGCCGACACCTCCTCCATCTTCAGGTGTGGGATGGGCAGGACTAGGGTATTTTTTCCTCACAAGGCAGAGCTCCACAGTTCCTCCAGCCAGAAAAAAATTACCTATTCAGACCTCTGTTCTGAATTCAATTTGGTTTACTCAGGGATGATCTCTGAGAATCTAGTGTACGTCCGAACTCAACGCCCTCCAAACGGTATTTACCAATAAGCAAATCAATTTCTGGGGCTTCATACATTAGGATCCGAGAGGGACAGAGGAATCAAACCCAGGACAGCTGTGTGCAAGGCAAACACCTTACCCGTTGTGCTATTGCTCCAGCTGGTAGGGCGTTTGCTTTGCACATGGCTGACCAGGACGATCTGGGTTTGATTCCTCTACCCCTCTCGGAGATCCCGGCAAGCTACCGAGAGTATCTCGCCCGCACAGCAAAGCCTTTCAAGCTTTCCGTGATATATTCAATATACCAAATATGCCCACATGGCAATATTCTTTTTTTTTATTTTATAGCACATCAGTAGGGCATTTGCCTTGCACGCAGCCAACATGGCTGACCGAAGTTTAATTCCTCTGCCCCTCTCGGAGAGCCCGGCTAGCTACCGAGAGTATCTAGCCCACACGGCAGAGCCTGGCAAGCTACCCGATATGCCAAACTCGATATGCCAAACACAGTAACAACAAAGTCTCCAATGGAGACACTACTGGGCCCGCTCGAGCAAAATCAATGAACAACGGGAGGACTGTGATTGTGACTGTGACTTATTTTTATTAGTGAAACACCATGAGGTACAGTTGTAGACTTACAAATTTTTGTGCTTGGGTTTCAGTTATACAATGATCAAGTACCCATCCCTCCTCCAGTGCCCATTTTCCACCACCAGGGGTCCCAGTATCCCTCCCACCCCACATTCCTCCCATCCCATCCTGCTTCTGTGGCAGGGCATTCCCTTTTGTTCTCTCTCTCCTTTTGGGTGTTGTGGTTTGCAAAAGAGGCATTGAGTGGTAATCATGTTCGGTCTATAGTCTACTTTCAGCATGCTTCTATTGCCACATGGCAATATTCTATATGCCAAACACAGTAACAACAAGTCCCACAATGGAGATGTTACTGGGCCCACTCAAGCATCACCAGGTATGGACCAAAAAGAAAACAAATAAAAAATAATCAATTTTATTTCATTTCTTAGTATATTTTTTGTTTGATTGCTTTCACCCCAAATTAGCAGTGCTCCAGGCTTAACTCTGGCACTGTGCTCAGGTTCATGTTTGAAGGTTACTAGGGATATGTGGAATAGGAATAATTGGTATTAGGGACCAAAGCTGGTGAGCTTCATGCAGGTGAATGCCCTACCGACTGTACTCTCTCTCTCTGACTCCATAAAAAGAAACACATTTTGGTAAGAGGTTGATTATTCTTGATTATGGGCTCACAAAATTACTTGACATATTTTCTAAAACCTTTTATTTTTGGAATGTTTTTATCCCAAAAAGCATGGTGCACTTAAAAATTGTTATTATATAATAATTATATATGTATCACTGTCACTGTCACTGTCCTCCCATTGTTTATCGATTTGCTCCAGCGGGCCCAGTAACGTCTCCATTGTGAGATTTGTTGTTACTGTTTTTGGCATATCGAATATGTCACGGGGTGCTTGACAGGCTTTGCCATGTGAGCGAGATACTCTCTGTAGCTTGCCAAGATCTCCAAGAGGGGCAGAGGAATCGAACTCGGGTCAGCCGGTCGGCTGCATGCAAGGCAAACACCCTACCTGCTATACTATCGCTCCAGCCCCATTTTGTAACAAAAAGGGGAAAAAAAGAAAAAATAAGCACTTTCTTTTCAATGTGAGAAAAGCATGGAACTTGTAACATACTAAACTCAAGAATTTCTAAGAAAGGAAACTAGTAGGAAAAATGTAGACGCTATGAGCACATTTGTGAAACCTGGAAAATGCAATGTTGAAAAATAACTTGTAGTTTATTTATTTATTTATTTTTTTTTTGGAATTTCAAAAGAACTTTGTTTTGTTTCCTGAACATTTTCTATATAAACTGCCTTTTAATAGAAATATCAAAATTTCAGAAGCAGCTGAAGAGAAATCAAATAATCACCATTTTGGTGATAACCAAAAAGCTCTGTGTGCCCATAGAATGTTGCAATCTAAGTAATTCTCTGAGGGGTTCGAGCAATAGCATAGCGGGTAGGGCATTTGCCTTGCACGCGCTGGACCCTGGTTTGATTCCCAGCATCCCATATGGTCCCCCGAACACCGCCAGGAGTGATTCCTGAGTGAAAAGACAGGAGTAATCCCTGAGCATCACCGGCTGTGGCCCAAAAAGCAAAAAAAAAAAAAAAAAAAAGCTAAATAATTCTCTGAAAAGCCAAACCTCATATCGGAGCCCAGAGATTATCCTCAAAAGGCTAATGGACCATGCATGGGACCGCTGGACTAGAGCTGTTACCAAATGAATTCCATGGGACATCAAAAGATGGAGTGGCCACCCACGTATGAGATGGTCAGATCTGTGTAAGGCTCTTCATGTTCCTGTAGCGAGCAGATGACATTGGGCTACACTAGCACGCAATATTTTTTTTATTTTTATTAATTGTGAATGCTAATTAGAATTATAGATTACCAAGGAAGTTGATGAAAATGTTTGCATTGTTTATTATTCAACAACGTTCCTCATGTATGAGACAACTCAGATTTTTTTTTATCTCTTTCAAGAATCCATTTGTTTAAATTTATTTCTTTAGTTTTTCCAAATTTCCTTTAATACTTTATATAAACACTGTGGATTACAAAGTTCTTCATGAGTGACAAGTATTTAACATAAAATAAGTCTTAAAATATTACTGATCATGAAGAAATGAAAAGCTTTATCACTGTAAAATATTGGTGATTTATTGGGAAAAAATTAAAAATCAGTAGGAATGACTGATAATACTTGTCATGCATGTGACCTACACAGATTGAATCTTGGGACCTCAAAGAGTTCCCCAAGACCACAAGGAGTAATAACTGAAGAATAAGCACTGAGCACTGCTAGAAGTGGCATAAAATGAAACAACACAAAAGTCTCTCAGGGTAACTTAAAACACACTGATCTTAAAATTAAATAAAAAGATTGCATTCATCTGGGGAACATAAAGCAACAAAATGGGAGACTAACACCCAGGAGTGGCTGAGATTAGTACCAGGAATTTTGCTCCATGACTTGGAGGCCAGTCACACGTGCTAGGGGAAAAGGAAGCTCAGATAGAGAAGAGAGCACCAAATAAAGGGTGTTGTGAGAATCCTCCCAGGGTGGGAGAAGCATGCTGAAAGTAGACTATAGACCAAACATGATTGCCACTCAATGCCTCTCTTGCAAAACACAGGACCCAAAAGAAGAGAGTGAACAAGGGGGAATGCCCTGCCACAGAGGCAGGGTGGGATGGAGAGGATGGGGGGTGGGAGGGATGCTGAGACCAGTGGTGGTGGAGGATGGGCGCTGGTGGAGGGATGGGTACTTGATCATTGTATAACTGAAACCCAAGCACAGTCTATAACTGTACCTCACGGTGTTTCACTAATAAAAAAATAATTCTGAGGTCAGCAATATAATAGAGAACAAGGTTCTTGTCTTCCACACAGCTGATCCAGTTTACTCTGCTGGAAAACAAACGGTAGGTACACTAAACCCTGCCAGGAGAAAACCCTGAGCACAGTGCCCAGAGTAGGTCCTGATCCCAGCTCCTTGTGACCCCAAACTAAGCAAAACAAACAAACCTTCAGGGCTGTCTGGCACTTCAGTATTCTCTTTGTTTATTTGTTTTATGGTGGGAACACACACCCTACAGTGCTTGGGGGTACTTGCCTGCCTCTGGGCTCAAGGATCACACCTGGCAAACACCTTATATCTTCCACTATCTCTCTGATGCCAACAGCGCTCAGTTTCTAGTTTATTTATCATTTCTACTTTTCCTCAACAAGGATGGGATGTGGAACATGAAGACCAGTGGTGGTGGAGGATGGGCGCTGGTGAAGGGATGGGTACTTGATCATTGTATAACTGAAACCCAAGCACAGTCTATAACTGTGCTTTAGAGAATTAAAGAATTAAAGAAGGGCTTGCTTCCCCAGAAAGCTATTTCCCTGAGCATGGCATTTCTTTGGACAAAATACAGCTCTGGGGAATCACTCCCCTCTCTGAAAATCCTTTAGTCCAGCCCCGCCCTATCTCAGGGTGGTTCTCCAGAGACCCACCCTTGGGTGTATATAAATGCTGTGCTGAGTGTAGGGAAAGCAGTGCCAGGCTGAAGTCTGCATCCTGCAAGGAGAGGAGCTCACCAACAGCAACAAGCACTGTGCAGGGCCAGAATCAGGACCAAGGTGAGTAGTGACCAATCAGGGGTTTTGCCTTATGTGGAGCAGGGATGGGGCAGAGAGATCAAAGAGTGGATGGGGAGGGGGAGGGAAGAGGGGCTGTGTTTTCTTGTTCTTTCTTGGGCCAGAAATTAACTCCCACAAGTTCCTTTGTGCGCACTGTGTGAGGTTCTAGAGGGCACCTTTTTGACTATCTGGTATCTATCTTCCTTATACTGAGTCCCAGAATTAAGTTCCCTTTCCTCTAATGTGAATGGGGTCGTTTTCCCATTCATGGAGACTTGGCATCTGTGAAGCAATATTACTTGAAAAAGGGGACCCTAATGCAAGAGGCTCTAGCAGTTTCTTTGGTCTTAGGAGAGTAAATTTGGAGAAGCCCTTGAGTCTAGAAGTGTGCTGGTCATCAGAGAGACACATCCCTTAGAAAGCTATATTGAGTTCAGGACAATGACTGAGTGTGTAACTGTTTTCCTGGCAGGAGAGAGCCTGAGGGTTTCAAATTTCTGAGAAAAATCACTCCGGACTTGCCCTTTTCCACACCCAAGAATGGAGGAGGTGTGGGAAGCCCTAGCCAAAATACAGCCAGACCTCATCTGTCGCATCTGCCTGGACTACATCAATGACCCTGTCACCATCGACTGCGGCCACAGCTTCTGTGACTCCTGCATCCGAATGTCATGGAAGGACCTACAGGACACATTCCCTTGTCCCGTGTGCCGGCAGTCCCGCCAGGAGATGCGCATTAGTGCCAACGCACAGCTGGGCAGGCTGGTGGACCTGGCCAAGCTCCTCCACAGCTCCAGGACCAGCCAGATGGCGGGGGCAGAGGAGGGGAGGTGTGAGGAGCACAGGCAGGGGGTGAGCCTCTTCTGCGAGGATGACCAGAGCTGGTGTGTCCCCTGTGCGCCCAGGGCCCTGCCCACCAGGGCCACCACGTCAGGTCTGTGGCCGAGGCAGCAGCTAATCACAGACAGAGGCTTGGTGACTGCATCAAGGCCCTTAAAGAATCAGCTGGTAGAGCTGCAGAAGCTAGAAGTCGCCCAAGACAGAAACCTCCTGCAGCTGAGAGCAGACATGGAAAAGCACAGGAGGCAGCTGGCCTCGGAATTTGAGCAGCTCACCGAGTTTGTGGAGCATGAGCACGAGGCGGCGCTCTGCAGGCTGGCAGAAGAGGACAAACGCCTGCAGCAGCAGCTCAGAGCCAACCTGGAGGCCTACTCGGACCACATCTCTGTGCTGAAAGACCTCAGAAGGGAGGTGGCGGAGCGAAGCGTGATGTACAAGGAAATGGTGCTGAGGGGGAAAAGGGGCCTGCAGGAGCACTGGGCGGACCTGCAACCCCCGGCTGTGCAGCCCCTGCGCTTCAGGCCAGTGGCCTACAGCCTCCCTCCTCTGTGCTCGGCACTCAACAGCATCATCCAGAGATTCTGAGAGAGCATCAGCCTGGACCCCGACACGGCCCACCCCAGCCTGCGCGTGTCCCAGGACCTCCAGTCGGTGACCTGCGTGAGGGAGAGGCCCAATGGGGATGGGAACCCCGGGCCCTGTGAAGACTATACCCCCCTGGTGTTCCTGGGCCGAGAGGGCTTCACCTCTGGCCGCCACTACTGGGAGGTGCAGGGGGGCGCCAAGCCTGAGTGGGCCGTGGGCGTGTGCAGTGTTGCCCCTTTGGCCCAGAACTCGCGGCCTCTGGTGGCTCCCATGAGATGCTGGACGCTGCAGCTGCAGGATGGCGACTACCTGGCCGTGAGCACGGGGGCCGTGCCTCTGGCTCTCAGGGACCAGCCCACGGCCATTGGCGTTTACCTGGAGTGGGAGCTGGGCCAGCTTTCCTTCTACAATGCCGCCGACAGGTCTCAACTGCACTCGTTCACCGAGCCCTTTGCTCAAGAGCTCAAGCCCTACTTCCGCGTGGGGCCCGACTGTGCCCCTCCTCTGTGGGCTCGGGGAGGGCAGAGGAGGGGTGAGCACAGCCTGGGCTTCCCCCCTGCCTCATGTGGACTGCGGGTTATCTTGTAAATATTGGACTGATTGCATAAGTGTTCAATTTCAGGCTAGCTGAGGGAAATGATCTTTTCTTGCAAATCTTTGTAATATATCTCTGACTATTTTGCATCTATATGCCTGTGTAAAATAAAATATATTTTTACAGCCAAGAAACGTTTTGCTGTCTTTCAGCAGAAAAGTGTTTAAAAAGCATTACGCAGGTCTCATATCCATTCCAACTTATTAATTTATATCTAGAGTGTATTTTATTAGTGGTATGCACATTTAACAAATTTCCCTCAATTATATAAAACCTAGGAGTAGTGTTCTATGCATGAAACAAGGAATATCTCCTGTCTCTCAGACCTTGACCCCTGTTCTACACAGAGCTCATGGGATGAAACAAGTCTAGTTAAAATATTTTACTCTGGTGCTTCCTGTGAAACAGGTACATTCTCTATAAATTACCCATCATTATATGAATATTCAGCTGTTTTGATGTCTATGTCACTGTCACTGTCACTGTCACTGTCCTCCCATTGTTCATCAATTTTCTCGAGCGGGCCCAGTAACGTCTCCCTTGTGAGACTTTGTTGTTACTGTGTTTGGCATAATGAATACGTCACAGGGAGCTTGCCAGGCTTTGCCTTGCGGGCAAGGTAGCTTGTCGACCTCTCTGAGAGGGGTGAAGGAATCGAACCCGACTCAGCCGGGCTGGCTGCGAGCAAGGCAAATGCCCTGCCGCTGTGCTATCACTCCAATGATGTCTATGTACCTATAAAATATCTTTGCTAACACTACACAGCTGCTTACGTTTATCATAACAAAGATTTTGTTATCAGGGCTATAGAAAATAAAATACCCACACCCTGCGCCACAGTGTCATACTGATGAGATTTTCTATCATATTTAACCCCAGAATATTAAGATCTACAAGGAGTCATGAAAATTTGGGGCCAACCAAGCATACAGTGGGAGGAGTATTTTCCTTGGACGTGATCAGAGTAGTTTGTATCCCTGGCATCCTATATGGTCTTCTGAGCACTGCCACATATCATCTCTAAGCTAGGAGCCAGCCCTGATACTTCTAGGTGTGGTTCAACCAACTCCAAGCTCAACAACCCCTGCTCCCCAAAACAAAAACATTTTGTTTATGTTTATGAAAATAAAGGGGAATCTCTATTGGGGGTGGAAACTGGGGACATTAGTGTTGAGAAATGTACACTGATGGACGGATGGATATTGGAACACTGAATGCCAAAAACAACTATTTTATTATAACTTTGTAAACCACAGAGTTCAAATAGTTCTTTTTAAATAAAAAAGAAATAAAATTGGTGGTTTTGTTCTTTGTGCCTCTGTAATAGAGAAAAGGTTCAAATTTCAGCATTAGCTAACATCCATTTTTTTTTAATTTTTATTAGTGAGACACCATGAGGTACAGTTGTAGACATACAAATTTTGTGCTTGGTTTCAATTATACAATGATCAAATACCAATTCCTCTACCGGTGCCCATTTCCCACCACCACGGATCCCAGTATCCCTCCCACACCCCATCCCCTCCAGCCCACCCTGCCTCTGTGGCAGGACATTCCCCTTTGTTCTCTCTCTCCTTTTGAGTGTTGTGGTTTGCAAAAGAGGCATTGAGTGGCAATCATGTTTGGTCTATAGTCTACTTTCAGCATGCATCCATTTTTTTGGTATCAAATTAGCAACTCAAGGTCCTTTGTAGAACTTTATATTAATAAACACATTACAAGAAACTCTAATAGAAGATGTAGGTACTTTACTTGGTTTCTTTATGCCATACATTTCTATGCGAATTTCCCAAAATAAGTACAATCACTTGTTGTATATATTGTTTTTACTTAATATCACCATTTTTAGCTTGACCTGTTGAAAGTGACTTATGTGAAGATTGAGAAGAGAGACACTAGCCATGATATGGGATTCTGCCACTTTCCTTTCTACCTTCTTTGGTCAATGGGGGTGGTGCCGAAGTGAGTCGGGACTGAGAAAGACCTTTTGAGTACCAAGCTGAGAACTGTTGGTGCTGCCAACACCTTACCGGGGTTTTAATAAATCCAAAAGACTTTATTGATAATCTGACCTACCTGAACAATTATTTCTAGAAAATGATGTGGCTCCCTGCCATTTTTTTTACAAAAACCTTTTCTCATGACTGTAAGACAAGATGTTAACTTGGAGGACCTGGATTTCCCATTTTCCAACTTGCCAGTTTGTTGACAATTAAGTTAATTTTCTACTTATCTCACCATCTCTTGAATTGGTTTTCACTGCAGAGACAGTGTAACTGGACCTTCAGTAAAATTAGCTATTCCATCCTGCTCGAAACATTGCAGGCAGATATGAAAGACGAAAATAAATATATGTTGTTATACCCGGGTACTGGGTGTCCCGTTCACAGAGAGACCAGTTCCACAAGTGAGAATGCAAAGGCAAAGGAATCTTTATTGTTAGCTCCAGCTAGGACCCAAGCCTCATCCAATGCAGCAGAGTCTTGACAAGGACAGGCCCTAGTTCCAGGGGACATTTTATCGCATATGGTGATAGAAGCAAAGGTGGCAGTTTTACCAAATTTCAAGGAAACAGTCACAAGTCTGTGAGCTAATTGGTCATTCCCACCCACTGTGCCCAGAGATATCCTACTTATCACAGGACTTTCAAAAGGGATCTCTAGCTTTGGCCAAGGACAGTCTCAGGAAATTCTTTGGGATGATGGCGGGGGGAGGGGGGACAGAAACTTAGGCTTACTGCTGGTTTGTTGAAATGCAGCCTGTCACGGTGCATATGAGGTTCTTTCTCAACCTCACAATATGAGGAATAGGTAAATGGAGACAATCACGACTGGATTTATAAATTGTTAATTCCATAGACTCCAGGGTAGCATCAAGAAACTCTTTAAGAGCTGGAAAGAAAGAATAGTGGGTAAAGCTCTAGCTTTACACAGAACCTGGGTTTGACCCCTGTCACTTTAAATGATGACAGGGATTGTCAGGAAGGAGCCCAAAGAACAGAATCCCGGACTAAGCCAGGAACAACAAGCTTTAATTGATATACTTTCTTAAACCACTTTCAATTTATGTTTATATCATTTTCCCCAAATCACCATTTGTTTGGTTGTATAAAAGATGTATTTAGAGATTATTAGAAATGAAAGAAAGAGAATAACATGCTCAGAAAGAGCACAGTCTTCTCCAAGATGAGAGCTGAGAGCAATACCTGAGTTGAAGATGCAGGGGAGGAAAGCACTTCAAAATAACTTTATAGTAGTTTTATAGGTTTTCTCCTAAGCTGCCTGCATACAACTTTTCTACCTGGCTAAAAGTCTTTTCACTGTTATGGTATTGTCAAAAAGAGTCTGACACTTTTTTTTTTTTTTTCTTTTTTGGGTTACAACCAGCGATGAACAGAGTTTACTCCTGGATTATGCACTCAGAAATTACTCCTGGCGGTGCTCAGGGGACCATATGAGATGCTGGGAATCGAACCTGGGTTGGTTGCGTGCAAAGTTGGGTCTAACTATATTGAGTATTTAGAGGTTTTTTTTTCCTTTTTTTGTCACACCTGGTGATGCACAGGCATCACTCCTGGCAGTGCTCAGGAGACCATATGAAATGCTGAGTATCAAACCCAGGTTGCATGCAAGGGAAACGCCATAACCGTTGTACTATTGCTCCAACCCTGACCGTATTGAGTCTTCCTATTTTAGAGCTAGTGATAGTAAATTCTTTAATCCCATCTTAGTTGTATTCCTTTCAAAGAACTCATACCCAGTGAGCCCACCAAATACCATTCTTACTAAAAGAAAATGAAAATAGTGATGAAAAAGCACAATGAAAGAAATATTTTCCATGTGTGGAAGTTAAATTAGCGTATTTGTTTTTTAAATAAATTTGAAATCAATTAATAAATAGAATATTGAAGAATTATTAGAAAGATTCTAATGAGAGCTTTATGCCTGCTTATGACAGACATGTCAACAGAAGGAGGAATGTTTACATAGAAAGGTCTTTGACCAATCATTGATGAGTTGTGTAAGACCAGTCATTAGTGAGTGGTGTAATTATGATGGCACGTGATATTTTAGTCCAAGTTCTCTTTGTAAATACAGAAAATATATCAAAACTAAATCCAGAACTGTTTTTCACTTTTTTATATACTTATTTTAGTATTTGAACCTGACTGTGTAGGGCTTAGGAGATATTCCTTGTTCCATGCATGGAGATCACTACTCCTAGGTTTTATATAATTGGGGGATATTTGTTAAATGTGCATACCGCTAATAAAATACACTGTAGATATAAACTAATTAGCAGGAATGGATATGAGATCTGTGTAATGCCTTTTAAAACATATTTCTGCTGAAAGGAAGCAGATGTTTCTTTGGCGTAAAAATATATTTTATTAGACACAGGCATATAGATGCAAAAGAGATATATTACAAAGAGTTACAAGAAGAGATCATCTCCCTCAGCTAGCCCAAAATTGAAGACTTACACAACCAGTCCCATATATATCAGATAACCCGCAGTCCACATGATGCAGGGGGGAAGCCCAGGCTGTTTTCACCCCTCCACAGCCCTCCCGGCGCCCACAGAGAGAGGGGCGCAGTCGGGCCCCACGTGAAAGTAGGGCTTGAGCTCTTGAGCAAAGGACTCCGTAAACGAGTGCAGGTGAGACCCGTCGGCGGCATTGTAGAAGGAAAGCTGGTCCAGCTCCCAGTCCAAGTAAACGCCTATAGCCTCAGTCTGGTCCCTGAGAGCCAGAGGCACAGCCCCCGCGCTCACGGCCAGGTAGTCGCTGTCCTGCAGCTGCAGCGTCCAGCATCTCTTGGGAGCCGCCAGGGGACACGAGGCCTGGGCCGAAGGGGCGATGCTGCACACGCCCACGGCCCACTCGGGATTGACGCCCACCTGCACCTCCCAGTAGTGGTGACCAGAGGCAAAGCCCTCCTGGCCCAGGACCACCAGCTGGGCGGTGTCATCACAGGATTTGGGGTCCCCATCCCCTTTGGACCTCTTCCTCATGCAGGTCACCGACTAGAGGTCCTGGGACACGCGCAGGCTGGGGTGGGCCGTGTCGGGGTCCAGGCTGATGCTCTCTCAGAATCTCTGGATGATGCTACTGAGCCCCGAGCACAGAGGAGGGAGGCTTTAGGTCACCGGCCTGAAGCGCAGGGGCTGCACGGCCGGGGGCTGCAGGTCCGCCCAGCGCTGCTGCAGTCCCCTCACCCCCCTCAGCACCATCTCTTCCGACATCACGCTTCGCTCCGCCACCTCCAGTCTGAGGTCCTTCAGCTGCGAGATGTGGTCCAAATAGGCCTCCAGGTTGGCCCTGAGCTGCTGCTGCAGGCGTTTGTCCTCTTCTGCCAGCCTGCAGAGCGCCGCCTCCTGCTCACGCTCCACAAACTGGGTGAGCTGCTCAAATTCCGAGGCCAGCTGACTCCTGTGCTTTTCCACGTCTGCTCTCAGCTGCAGGAGGTTACTATCTTGGGCGACTTCTCGCTTGTGCACCTCTACCAGCTGCTTCTTCAGGGACTCGATATAGTCACCAAGCCTCTGTCTGTGATGAGCCGCTGCCTCGGGCACTGACCTGACGTGGTGGCCCTGGTGGGCAGAGCCCTGGGCACACAGAGGACATACCAGCTCCTGGTCATCCTCGCAGAAGAGACTCACTCCCTGTCTGTGCTCCTCACACCAGCGCTCCTCTGCCCGCGCCATCTCGTTGCTCTCAGATCTGTGCAGGAGCTTGGCCAGGTCCAGCAGCCTGCCCAGCTGGGCGTTGGCACTGACAAGCATCTCCTGGCGGGCCTGCCGGCACACAGGACAGGGGAATGTGTTCTGCAGGTCCTTCCATGACATGCGGATGCAGGAGTCACAGAAGTTGTGGCCGCAGTCGATGGTGACAGGGTCATTGAGGTAGTCCAGGCAGACGAGACAGATGAGTTCTGGATGCATTTTGGCCAGGGCTGCTGATACCTCCTCCATCCTTAGGTGTGGAAAGGGCAGGACAAGGACGTTTTTGCTCACAAGTTCGAACTCCTCAGGTTTTCTCCTGCCAGAAAATAAAAAATTAAAAAAATCACAAACTCAGCCTCTGTTCGAAATTTAATATGGTTTTCTCTGTGATTTATCTCTGTGAAAACACAGCTCCCAACTGGACTCAAGGCCCTCCAAACTGTTTTCACCAATAAGCCCACCAACCTCCGGGGCTTCGTCTATTAGAATCCCCTGTTTCAAGTGATCACCACTTTCTGTGATGAGGAAATGACCCCTTTTACATCAGAGGAATGGTCACTCAACTCTGGGGTATAGTATAAAGAAAATAGAGATCAGATGGTCAAACGGAGGCCCTCTAGAGCCTGCACACAGTAGGCACTAAGGAAGCTATAGAAGTAATGCTCTTGCCCCATAAGAACCACAAATTCCCTGATTGGTTTCTTGTCCCTGGTTTCTGCCTCCAGTTACCACAAACCCCAGATTGATTGCTAACTCACCTTGATCCTGACTCTGGCTGGTGCAGTGCTTGGTCCAGCTGGTGAGCTACTTCCCTTGAAGGATGCAGATTCAAGCTGCACTAGGCGTTGTGTGCCCATGCTCAGCACTGTGTTTATATACATCACAGGGTGAGTCTGGAGAGACCCACCCAGGAATGACTGACGGGAGGTCGGGTGGGGCTGGATAGAAGGGATATTCAGAGCAGTGATGGGATTCCCCAGAGCTCTAACCTGTCACTAGGAGCTCCATGTTTAGGGAACTAGAGTTCACAGGAAGCAAGTCCTTCCTTAACCGTCTTTGTGTTCCCTATCCCATTCTCGGTGATAATGTCTAGAAAATGTTATACGAATTAGAAGGAAAGTGCTATTGGGTTAAGAGAGATAATGGAGGCTGTAAGGTGTTTGCCAGGTGTGGTACTGAGTCAGCAGAATGCCCTGTTTATTGTAGGGTGTGGCAAAACAAAACTAATTATAGTACTGTATAGCACTGTCCTCCCGTTGTTCAGCTATTTCCTCCAGCATGCACCAGTAACATCTCACAAAAAATTGTGAGACTTGCTGTTACTGTGTTTGGCATATCAAATGCATCAGGGATAGCTTGCCAGACTTTGCCGTGCGGGCAAGATACTCTCGGCAGCTTGCCGGGCTCCCCGAGAGGGGCAGAGGATTCGACTTGGGTCGACCATGTTGGCTGTGCGCAAGGCAAATGCCCTATCTGCTGTGCTATTGCTTCAGCACCAAAATTTAAACAATAAATAAAAAAATAAAATAATTTTTAAAATGGTATTATAAGTGTCCACAGCTCTCTGATTGAGACACCATTTATTTAACTAACGTTCTATCAGCACTTGTGAAAGTTGTTGGAATCATCCTTAAATTATCTTATTCGAATACCTCAGCCAGTCCACCAAGAGCAAACCCTGTTTTCAGTACCATGAACCTGTTCCTGCAATAGCCACATTCGGGCCTTTGCCTCTGCTCTCTCACCTTCTCCTCAGAGCTCCTTTAGGGACACATCAGTGCCAGGGAAAGAGCTTTGTCCTAAAGAACACTGGAAAGCTCTTATCTCCAAGCCATGGAGAGAACCTCCTGGTACGTATCTCAACTATTCTTGGGTGTTTGTCTCCTATTTTGTTACTTTATATTCCCCAGGTGAATGCACTCTTTCTATGTCTGTCCTCTCTTTCTGACTCATGTCACTTAGCATACTTTCCATGTAGTACCACTTGTATGTAAATTTCAATTTTCTTACTAAACTTCAGTGCTATCCTCAGGAACATCCAGGGTGAAATATGGATATTCTAAGTGCTTTTATTGGGACAAAAAGAATATGAGATGTATTATTTTACGGTAGTCTAATTGAGATTTTTGCTTTAAAGTGGTAGAAACTTTAGCTGAACAGTGTCCAATAGTTATGCTGACTGTGAAAATTTCAGTGCTTAGCTGAAATTTTCAAGCGAATGTAATGTGCTATGTGATTTATTTTTGCTGCTCATAGGAGAATGTGACAGTAACGAGACAAGTTGGAGAGAAAGTTAGGAAATTAAAATAAAAGAGAAGAGAAAAGATATAATAATCATGAGTCCAAAGATCCTCATTCCCAGATAATTTTTTTTATTACCCCAAACTAAAAGACTCAACTCCTAGAGAATCCACATTGGGAAGATGAAGGTTGTAGCTGCACGTCTTGTTAATTCTAAAATGATCAGGACTAGCTTCAGCCGTGGGTTGGATCCATGGTAATTTTCTTGAAAGAAATCAAAATTAAGAAAAGTATATTAGTGTGCACGTACACTGCATGAGCCCAGGTGCTGCTTCTGTCTATGTGTCATGGCCAAATGTATGTGCCACTTGAGCACACATGTTGCCTGCATGTCTCTTCTTGAGATGTTCTTTTCATACCTTCATACTTGAATGCAGGGTTACGTAGTGGGGCTCTTTCTGCCTTTGGAGAAGCCTGAGTTGTTCGTTGTTCTCTCTTTAGTTTCTCTCTCTCTCTCTCTCTCTCTCTCTCTCTCTCTCTCTCTCTCTCTCTCTCTCTCTCTCTCTCTCTCTCTCCCCCTTTCCACCCATCCACTTCCCAAACAAATAAATAACTGTATGAAGAACATTGATCCACGGTAAATTGTTAACCTGAGAGCATAGCAATTTCTATTATGTTTTAAAACCTCAAATTAATCCTCTGTGCTAGAGAGTGCTTGTTAAACAACCACTGACAGTATAAGGTTGTCAGTAGAGAATTTTTATTTTTTAACTAGACATACAGGGAATTTTGTGTTTTTCAGACCATTTTAAGGGAAACATTTTCTGTGCTTTTGTTGTGTGTGCTTGTATTCTAACAAAACCTCTACCCCAGCTCTGACTTTGATCCTGTCACTCTAGTCATTATGAAGTTCCTGGAAGCTTATTCACAGAAGCTTTGCCAGTTAACAGGTTTTATTGGTTTATAAGTTTATTGTTTGCTTACTTTGGGGCCAGACCCAGCTGAGATTAATGCTGACTCCTGGCTCTGAGGAATCTCCATGCTCCTCAAAGAGTTTGAAGCACCTACCATTTCTGTTCCTGCAGAGAAAACATCCTTGTGTCAAGACAGGACCTTAAACTCTATTATATTGCTGACCTGAGAATTCTTATTTTGCTTTATCTTTAAGTTCAATGTGTTAGACGTTACCTTGAGAGACTTTAGTTCTGTTTGTTGTAAGCCTCACCCATCAGTGCTCAGTGCTTACCCTTCAGGGATCACTCCTCCTGCTCTTGGGGAACCACAGAGAGTGCAGAGATCCCATTTGGAGACTTAACATTTCTCCTAGATGAGGACGTTTTCTAGTCAAGAGATATTTATATGATGAACAATCATTTAAAGTGGGTCCAGGCAGCAGGAAACTGCCAACAGTGTACTAGGGTGGAAATTATGAATCCAGTGAATGCTTCAGTGGTGAACAAAAGAATTGTCCTTCCAGTATCTTTGTAAACCAAGAAAAC